AAAAGAAAAGAAAAGAAAATACCTAGGAGTATACTTAACAAAGGAGGTGAAAGATCTCTACAACTACAAAACAATGATGAAAGAAATTGTAGATGACACAGACAAATGGAGAAATCACCCAGGCTCATGGATTGCAAGAATCAAAATATGTTAAAATGACCATACTGTCCAAATCAATCTACAGATTCAATGCAATTTCTATCAAAATTCCAATGTCATTTTTCACAGAATTAAGAAAAAAATCCTAAAATTCATATTAAAACAAAAAGAACCCAAACAGCCAAAGCCATCCTAAGAAAAAAGAACAAATCTAGAAGTATCATTTTACTGGACCTCAAATTATACTACAAGTCTACAGTAATCAAAACAGCATGGTACTAGTATAAAAATATACACAGAAATTAATGAAACAGAATAGAGAATTCAGAAACAAAGCCATATACCTACAACCAACTGATCTTCAACAAAAAAAACAAAAACAAACACTGGGTAAAGACACCCTATTCAATAAATGGCGGTGGGAAAATTGGATAGCCATATGCAGAAGAATGAAACTGGATCCTTGTCTCTCACCATACACAAAATTTCACTCAAGATGGATTAAAGACTTAAATGTAAGACCTGAAATTATAAAATCCCTAGAAGAAAACCTCAGTAATACTCATCTGGACATTGACCTAGGTGAAAAATTTATAAATAAGACTCCAAAAGCAAATACGACAAAAACAAAACTATACAAACAGGACTTTAAACTAAAAATCTTCTGTACAGCAAAAGAAATAATCAGAGTAAACAGACAACCTACAGAATGGGAGAAAATATTTGTATACTATGCATCTGGCAAAGGATAAATATCCAGAATCTATAAGGAACTCAAACAATTCAAGAAGAAAAAATAAATTAAAAACCCCATTAAAAAGTGGACAAAGGACATGAACAGACATTTCTCAAAAGAAGACATACAAATGGCCAAGAAACACATGAAAAATGCTCAGCATCACTCATCATCGGAGAAATGCAAATTGAAACCACAATGAGATACCATCTTACTCCAGTCAGAAATGCCATTATTAAAGAGTCAAAAAACAAAAGATGTTGGCAAGAATATGGAGAAAAGGTAATGCTTATACACTGTTGGAGGGAATGTAAATTAGAACAACCTCTATGGAAAAGCATATGGAGCTTTCTCAAAGAACTAAAATAGAACTACCATTTGATCCAGCAATCTCACTACTGGGTATCTACCCAAAGGAAAAGAAATCATTATATCAAAAAGATACTTGCAAAAAAAAAGATACCTGCACCTGTATGTTTATTGCAGAGCTATTTATAGTAGCAAAGACACGGAATCAACCTAAGTGTCCATCGACCAATGATTGGATAAAGAAAATGTGATATATCACATTTATATATACATACATAGACACACCCCCTAAGGAATACTACTTAGCCATCGAAAAGAATGAAATCACATCTTCTGTAACAACTTGAATGGAACTGGAGGCCATTATCTTAAGTGAAATAATTCAGACACAAAAAGACAAATACCACATGTTCTCATAAGTGGAAGCTAAGCAATGAGTTCATGTGGACATAGAAAGTGGAATAATAGACACTGGAGACTCGGAAGGGTGAGAACGTGGGGCGGGGATGTGCAATGAGCAATTACTTAATGGGTACTACATACACTTACTGGGTGATGGTCACACAAAAAGTCCAGATTTCACCACTATACAATATATCTATGTAACAAATCTGTACATGTACCCCATGAATCCATAAAAATAATTTTAAAAGAAAGAAGGAGGGAAACCTGGGGGTAGGGGGGTAGGTGAAGGGGAAAGGTAGGAAAGAATAAACCAAAAAAACATTTTAAAAATTGGGAGAATATGTATCATCACTGGAAAACAAGAGATAAGCAAACTTCATTTTCCAGAAACTTTAATAAATTTCTACTAGATATTGGACAGATGTGGTATAGTGGAAGGAGCCAAATTAGACCTACTAGGGAGCTCCTTCTCCTCCTGTGAGAAAACCACTTTCCCTCACGCAGACTCTTTCCAACAACCCATCACTCAAAAGGGTGAGTCCTAGAAGCAAGGCAGATGGTGAACCAAAAGAAGACACAGTTTGCATTCCCTACTCTGTAAATTAGCAATATTTAGACCCTATCAGCATCATTATGCAACCCCAGAATTCTTCTCTGATTGAGGGCAATAGGCTGAGGCCTGGACACCACTAAGGGAAACTAAGCATGGAAAGACACTAAAGCAGATTAGATACATTCAGGCCCTGTCACCAGCCTGGCTGGCCACAAAAAGGAGAAAGGGTAAGAAATCTTTAGCACAAAGGCAAAGTTCTCTACCATGGCTAATCTCTAGATTTTTAGGATTCTAAATATGGTAAGGCAAATATTCAAGAAATAAAAAGTATTCCCCAAATTCAGGAAAGAACGAACATGTACTATGTGACAGAATACAGCTTGATTCTTCCTTGACTGAGTTAA